GCACTCAGAACCAGCCACGTTGCCCACCACCCCGAGATGCCCTTCCTTTGATCTCCAGACAGTCTTGCCTCATTGAGTGCTTCCTCCCAGTGCACAGTTGGATTCTTTTGCCTGTCTTGGTGTTAATGTTGACATTGTTATATAATAAATAATAATATATTTTTTTCTTTCAATTATCTTAATGGGACCCAGTCCCTTATTTCGGGGGAGATCTGAGCATTTGTTTCAAAATATGTACTTGTGGGGCTCCCCCTTCCCCAATAAACTACCCCTATAGCCTAAATTCTCCACTTTCCCCTAGACTTGGAGCATCTGGGTGGTACAAATGATTAACACACTCAGCTGCTAACCAAAAGGTTGGAGATTCAAGTCCACTCAGAGATGCCTTGGAAGAAAGGCCTGGCGATCTACTTCCAAAAACTTAGCCATTAAAAACCCTGTGGAACACAGTTCTACTCTGACACTCATGGGGTTGCTGTGAGTTGCAGTTGACTCAATGGCAACAGGTTTTCCCTTGACAAAGAGAAGTAAGTACCTACCTCTGCCATGGGATGTTTCTGAAAAGTCCCTTCTGCCCCAGCTTCTCTTTGTTTTGTCCTGCCTTCACCATCAGCATGGCTCTCTGTTTGGCCCTCTACTCCCCAATGGAGTCAGGATAACACTGGACTCCATCTGGCACCATATCTTAGTCAGCCCCACCGTCTTCCCAGCTCTGTCTTTCCACTCGTCTGTCGCTAAAATGTGGCCTATAGCTTCCTGGCCGGAAAGCTTGCTTTGAAAAACTTAAAAAGCCCTGGTTTACATGGGGGCTGAACTGTGATAAGTGGGGAGCAAGCTCTGTGTTAACAAGAGCTGTGAAAAAGCCAAAATAAATATTCTTCCTGATAAAACACAAAGCCAGCCCCAAGCTTCCAATTCTCCATCATTGACGACCCAACCTGGATGCAACAGAAACTCCACAAGAAGAGACGAGACGCGCTCACCTATGACTTCTCTTCAAAAAATCACGTGGACACCAAATGCCAACGCAAAACTGTGCTTATTGAAAGCAGAAAGCAGTATTAAAAAAAAAAAGTGTGTAAGTAAAACGTTATTGCAGGGTTCTTCAGATGTAATATTTTACTGGTACTATTTATTTATAAATAGGAGTTCTAATTAAGTAATAACACGAGATGAAATCCAGCATGGGAGCTGGCCAAGAGCTTTTAATTTTATTGCTATTCAAAACCAAGTTTGCTTTTTTTTTTCTTTCAAATGTGCTTTGCTTTCTTTTCTTTTCTTTTTAATTTTAAACTCACCCTAATAAAGAGAACAGGGTAATGTGTGAGGCTGAGTATGTCCAAGTACGTGAGAGAGTGTATGTTTGTATGTGAGTGTCTTTATGCAATTATGTCCTCTTGTATGTTGCTAAGGGGGGAGGGTGAGAATTAAGTACTCGTTCCGTATACTCGTGTGCCAGTTAATGCCTAATAAAGACCATGTGCTTAAAAAAATACAGGGGACTTGAATACCCTTTTTTTTTCCTTCTGTTCTTTCTACTGACTGAATAGAGGGGAAATTACGTAGAGGTGGTGCAAAGGTTAATGAGCTTGGCTGCTAACGGAAAGGTTGGCAGTTCTAGTCCACGCAGAGGTGCCTCAGAAGAAAGGCCTGGTGATCTACTTCTGAAAAATCAGTCACTGAAAACCCTATAGAGCACAGTTCTACTCTGACACACATGGGGTCTTCATGAGTCAGAGTCAAGTTGACGGTAACCAGTACTGGTTGGTGGAGGAAATGGGATGGGACTGTTGTCTTGCACATGAATTCTTCACCCCGTTTGCTTTCTCCTGCTGATCTCAGGGGTATTTAGAATCCACTGTACTTGGGTGTGATGGAGCTGAACATATTTACCCACTGGGTTATATCCCCAGAATGAAGTGATTTGTTTTAGCTGACAATGTGTTGGC